ATAACCACACAGACGGCCGCGCGGAGCTCCTGAGCCCTCCTCCTGGGTTGGCTCTTCCACAGCCCTGCCAAGTTTTATTGCACAGGCACGCACGCAGTCCCTGCTGCACCCACACACTCAATTTGTACAATAATAATTTGGAAATGTCATATTTTACCTTTTCATGGATTTTTTTTTTTGTTTCTCTAGTCTAATTGCAGGTTTCTTAAAGGGAAGCTTTACACCTTCTCTATTTTAACCATCAACCATTAAACACTTATTATCCTGCCTCACAGTAATCATTTAATAAGGGTTATTAACGATTAATATGTTACTGCATTAAAGCTGTTAAAGCATTTCTCTAAACATGAATTTGTTTTAAGAGTGATTTTGGCACATGAGGAAAATCCAATTTGGAAATTTAAATTCATTAGGAAACACATAACTCAACATTTTAAATTTCTCTAGAAAGCTATCTGCTGCTTTTGATCCCTGACTGAATGGAGAGTGGCTGAAAATGGGGGCCCATGAGATGGTGAAAGGGAAAATTTTTTTTAATGTTTGGGCCTAAATCAGTTTCAAACACACACATCTATTTTTATAACTTCTAGGTTGCGGGGCCTCCCTGGTGGCGCAAGGGGGTAAGTCTCAGCACTACGAAGCTGTCCGCAGCCTTGGCAGCATGAGTTCAATCCCCCACCAGGGAGCTATACCCACATGGCACAGCAGACCTCTCCTGTCTCCCCGCTGCTCCCCTCAGCAGTGTGTTTCAGTAGATCTGCCTGTTCTGCTCCCTACTCTGTCTCTGGTGAATCCTCTCACCCCCCGAACCTCTGGCCTGCACCCCAGCTGTTATATGCATAAACAATCTTTAAAAAAAAATCCTAGGTTGCAATGAGCATGGCTGTTCCATCGGCTTCCAGCACCACTCACAGCCCTGCTGTCTCTGAAACGGGCCCATCTCTCACCATTCAACAGATACTGATGGAGCCGCATCTGTGTGTGATGCACAGAGTGACATGCCGAGGACACAAAGGTCGCTCACCATAATCCCTGCCCTCAAGGAATGCATTCTCTCCTGGAGAAAGAAAAAGAAGCAAACTACCCCTGACTGAACTCATTCATTCAACAACTATTTACCAGGTGCCTAGCACATTAATGCGTGAGGCTACAGCAGAGAAAAAACTCAGAGGCCTGGCCCTTGGGGGACTCCCAACCTCAGGGAGGAAAGGAGACAGGGCTGGGAATGAAGACTGGATGGGAGGGGGCATAGCCTGACATAAGGGATCAGCACCAGGTCCTGTTGAGAAGGGGGCAATGAGCAAAGATGGCAGAGTGGAGGCCATTGGCAAGGTGGATTATCCGGGGGGAAACCTCTGCAGAGAGAACATGGGCCAGCAAACTATAGCCCATGGGTCAAATTTCTCCCCTGGCTATTAATAAAGTTTTATTAGCGCAGTCACACCTGCTCACTGCTTTCACACCAATAGCATTAAATTATATGGACTATAAAACCCTTTCTAGAACGTTTGCTGAGCCCTGGGAAAGTGGGAACAGCTGGTGCAATTGGGAGAGAGGGGAGAGCGTCCACAGAGCAGGGCCGGGGCAGTAGGAGGGGGATGGGATATTGTTAAGGGTGTTAGTTTGGGGAAAACAGGCCAATTGGAAGTTGCTTTCGTTTTGGTTTGGCCCACGGGGGCCATCGTCCTGCATGGGGTCTCTCCATCTGCCTTGGACCAAAATGCACTCAGCAGACACATCTGTGCTGACCAGCATTCTGAAAACGGGCATTTCCTGAATAAACCCAGATCCCTGACTTCTCTAGAGAGACTCTTCTGCCCCCTGATCAGTGCCACCCAGAACAGAGCCAGGCCTCCCAGCTCCACGGTTCGTGCCTGTGCTTGACTTTCTGTCTGTTGGAAGCTGAGCAGAAGAAAGTGAGCACATCGCGAGTGGGCGCCGCACATCACCACGGGACACAGATGCCGCCTGGAGCGGGGGGTTCACCTTGTCTGCGTTAGTCTTGTGCTCCCTTACGGGGGAAGCAATCTGAGCATTTTTATAAAAAAATAGTGATTGTCACTGGACAGAAAGACAGTTAAAGCCATTCACCCCCCCAAAATGAAATCACAGAAACCACAAAACAACAACACAAAAGCAGCGAGCCAGGAGCGGGAACAGCGTTTGGAGCAGAGGAAGGTGATGACCCCAGAACGGGGAGACCGGAGAGAGGGCGCCTGGCCAGGGCAGCGGGACGCAGGCTGGGTGAGCAAGAGCCCACGGCCAGTGTCCGGGGTGAGAGGGGACGGCGCACAGCCAGGGGAGGCCAGACCTGTGCTGGAAGGAGGGTCGGCCCTCAGGGAGGGACAAGGGCGAACCGACCGTGGAAGCACCTCTCAGGGCTTGGGAGAGGAAGGTGCACCCCTAACAGGCAGGAGCCACAGCCCTGGGCAGGCCAGCCAGGCCCTCTGTGCAGGGGGGGGGTCTTCCAGGGGCGGGGTGGGAGGGCCAGGAGGGGCGGCCCAGCGCCGGGGCGCCGTGAGCTGAGAGGTGCTTCCGAGGCGGCGTGGACTTTCTTCCAGTGCCTGCGATGAGCAGATGAGCTCCCGCATAAACAGCAGATTTTAGAATCTAAAATATTCTTTTCTTTGTTCAACTCCCAACGACGATGCCCGCCGCGGGCTCCCTGCGCCGGGCCGGGTCCTCCGCTGTCCTTGCTCCACCGCCTGAGCTCAGAGGGAAGGACCAGCAGGGGGTGAACAGACTCGGACCCCCTGACCGGCCAGGGCCACCGGGTCAGCGCGGGGAGCAGTCCGTGTTCACCACTTCATGCTCCGGTCTGAGTTATTTTCCCGGGATATTGTGAAGGGTGTTGCTTTTGGGGAAAGAAAGAAATCGAGCATCTAATTACTTCTCACTTTGCTTTTGGCAAAATCTAATTACAAAAAGCCTTTGGCCGATGGGGGAGTCATTTTGACTTTTAACTGGAACAGTGGCCAGTGAAAGGCAACAAATGGAGAGAAGGAACTTGAGCTCCAGCCCGCGAACTGTGCACAGGGAGCCCACGGCTCGGCAGGAATCAGCAGAGGGATGTGGGTGGAGGCCAGGCCGCGTGGCTTGGGTTTGAGGAGGATTTCCTGACTCGGGAGCACGGTCTTTGGGGGTGCTGGAGAAGGTGGGTGCATGAGGGCCTTCTCTTCTACAAGGGAGTCTTTTAAAGGCAAACTGTATATGACGTCACTCTTGTGCTAAACAAACAGAGGAACGACATGGAAGAACAATACACTTTGGATGACAAGACCCATTCCTGGCGGCCAGAGGGAGGGGAAGGGGACCGAATCAGGACAGAGGGAACGTGATTTGCCTTGAATGCACACCTGACTTATAGAATGTTCTAGTGCCTTTCTACTTCAAAACAATAAAATGCTAAAACGCCAAATTGTGGGAGCCGGTTTGACTACATCACCTCATGAAGAGCTGTCCACGTACACGTAAATATGCACAAGTCCTAAGTCTAAGCCACTGGTTCTCAAGAAGCGGCAATTTCTCCCCAGGGGCTATTTGGAAATTTCTGGAAAATTTTTGTTGTCACATCTGGAAGGGAGGGGTGGGGGGCTGCGATTCTATCCACTGGGCAGAAGCTGGGGATGCTGTCAACCTTGGTAACTAGGAGAGGCTCCTACCCCAAACAAAAAATTATCTGGAATAGAAGGTCAGGAGCTCTGAGGGGAGAAGCTTCTGTCTGCATAAGGAGCTTGCCCTCGGCAAAAGGCCAGTAATCTTTGTAGAATGTGGAAGCTCCAAGGAGCAGATGTTATTGTGGCAATTTCAAGATTTCATCTCCATGCAAACTATGCAATAATTGCTTGAGAGAATGGACGACATCTGGGGTGCAAAATTATCCCCAACATTGTGTTTGCAAGTATGTGTGGGGTGTGTGTGGTGTGCATGTGTGTGGTGTGTGGTTTGTATGTGTATGGTGTGTGGGGGGAGTTGGTGTGTAATGCGTGTGGTATGGTGTATGTGGTATGAGATTGTGGCATGTGTATGGTGTATGTGTTGTATATGGTATTTGGGGGTGTGCGTATATGTGGGGGGTGTATGTGGGGTACATGTGTGTATGTGGGATACATGTGTGTATGTGGGGTATGTGTGTGGGGGTGCATGTGTGTATTTGGGGTAAGTGTGTATGTGGGGGGCATATGTGGGGGTGTGTATCTGTGGGGTGTGTGTATATGGGGTGACTGTCAGGGGCCCCTCAGCTGCTGTGCCAGGCAGCCCTGGCAGGGGAGGTGGTCCTCACAGCACTGGCGGGCACGTAACCACTGTCTCATCTAGGACCGAAGGGGCATCTACTGGCTTCTTGCTTCTTGAAAAAACAAAACTCAGAAGAGCACCGGGGCATGGCGCTTCCCAACTGGATTGTCGCTGCTGGTGCAGGACTTGAGACCCACGAGCTTCTGCCCCGGGAGCAGCGCCAGGCCTGGCGGCCGTGCTGCAGGGGCGCAGGCACAGGATGGGGATCCGCGCGTCTCCGGGCCACGGACTCAGGGTGAGTGTGACCACGGGAGCTGCCGGCCTGACCTCGTGGTGGTATGCTGCCTTGTCTTAAAAAAACTGATCAAGCTATGGAGCTCCCTGGGGCCAAACACCTTCCTACACACAATGTCTGAAAATTCCCCCAAATGCCAGTGATTTCCCTTCCGAGACACAGCGCGAGCAGCTGCGGGGAAGGCGCAGGGGCCTGCAGGCTCCTGGACACGGGGCCAAGTTCCCAGAAGCCGAAGGGCCCGAGGTCATGAGAGCCAGCGCGGCCCCAGCCCAAGGTCTCGGCAGGACTGCCCCTCCCGTTCCGAGGGCCTGCAGCCCGCGCTGCCCGTCTGCCCAGAAGGACAACAGGGTGTCTGTTTTGATGTCTTTAAAAATAATGACTGTTTTTCTTTACAATTGGTGATGACTGGCTTTTGCACACCACGAGGAGACACGCCCGCAGCCGGGGCGTGGGGGAGCCCCAGACTCACCGTTGAGCCACTTGGAGTTGTACTGCGCCGTGCGGAGAGGGGGCAGGACGCCCAGGCTGCGGTAGATGGCGGGGTCGCGGCCCGGGAAGTCCATGGCCGTGGCCGCGTACAGCTCCCCGCCGGCCGTGAGCAGCGCCGTGGAGTTGTGCTGGGGGCTGTAGGGGCAGCGGGCCATGCCGCTGATCTGGTCGTGGATCTCGGTCAGGTTGCTCAGCTAGGGGCGACGAGAGGACAGCCGGTTACTGCCCAGGAAGTCCTTGGCAGGGCTAGTGTCATGTCGCCCCCAAATACAAATGAAGCGTTGCAACAAATGTTCTTGTCCTGACAGGACAGGACATGGCCTCATACTCTGCTAGACCAGCATGGCAGCATGTGTGAGTGACAGCCGGAGCTCGCTGACCACCGCGTGGCCGACCCCCAAAGAATGAGCCCACTCCCAACCCGTCCAGCTCCTGCCCCGCAGGCTGAGCTCGCCCCCACCCCATCCAGCTCCTTCCCTGCAGGCTGAGCCCATGACCAACCCCATCCAGCTCTTGGCCCCGCAAACTGAGCTCACCCCCCACACCCCATCCAGCTCCTGCCCCACAGGCTGAGCTCGCCCCCACTCCATCCAGCCCCTGGCCTGAACTGAGCGTGCACAGGCAGGAGAGAGGTGCCGTGTGGCCGCTGTGTGTGCTGCATGCAGCCGGGCGATGCCCCCACCCCTCTCTGCTAACGAAGCCAACTTCAATATTTATAGAGGCAGAAACCACAATAAGGAATTATGCACAAATGTATCCACATAAGTGAATCCAGATATTATGAATAGACCCGAACTGTGTGCACGGACAAAGACAGTGGATACCCAGCAGCTTGCAGTCTGTCTGGAATTTCCTAGACTTTCTCTGTTTCCAGAGAAACAACTCCGTGGCCTGAGGCATCTGGTAGATGCCTTCATGACCAGCCAGGGGGTAGAAGCCCTTCAGGGGCAGGAGCTTTGTGGGGTGCGCTGCTTCTCTTTTCTGGGGTAGGAGAGCAGAGGGGCGCAGGGGCCTCTGAGGATGCCTGCTCTCCTGTTAGACAGGCAGACCTGGGAAGTGGTTGAACCCCTCTCTGCCTCAGGTTCTTTTACTGAAAGGGGGACCGGTGGGTCGGCACCCCATAGGGGTCGTGAGCACTGAGGCCCGTGAGCACTCGGAACAGGCGAGCTCTCCAGCAGCTTCCTGTGAGCCTGGCTCCTCCTCCTTCTGCTTCTGCCTGTCTTCCCAACAACTGAGCTTTAGTTGGGAAATAATTAGTAAAATCACACGTTAAAGTCGGGGTTTAAAGAAGTTGTGCAGCCGGGAAACTGACGCGCTGCTGCTGCTTCTTCATGTGCCCTGTGGAAACTCAAACTAATATCTGCACTAAGGAGGTGACATGTGGCCTGGGGGTCCTGCCGCTGCAGCCCCCACCTACCCAGGAGACGCCCCCACCTACCCAGGAGGAGGGACACAACTGGACCCACTTCTCTGTTCTCATTTTTCGACATGTGTCAACTACAGTTTCATTTGAATGGGGTTTCAGGCCATTCTCAGACGCAACAGTCTCCTCCCCATAAAGCAGCATAAGGAGAGAGAATATAGTGTGGACTCATGTTTATGGTCACTTGGCTAATAGAAATGGCTGAGACACACATTTCAGTGAAATCATACAAACTACAATCATTGCCAGTCTTTCCTATAATTAGCAGTTGTGACCAGGAATAAAGCAATGAAGGAAATATTGAATTTGACCAAGATGTTTTGGGAATTGAGAGCCACTCCTTGGAGAATGGAAACGTGTCTACACTAGGCTCCCACAGAAATGCTCGGTCTTCCCGGCGCGAGCTCCGCCCAGCCCGGAGGAGGCCCTACCGTGCGGTTGGTGCAGACGGGCGTGAAGGCGTTGGTCCCGCAGGTGAAGAGCCGGTCACCTCCCACCAGGAGCACCCGGACGTAGTTCTGACATTCCTCCTGCAGACAAAGCACAGGAGTCCCGTCAGAGGCTGAGCCGGGGTGCGGGTGTGAGTCCATCGTGCCGGCTAAGAAATCAAATGCCCACTGACCGCCTCGGACCGCAAGTTCACAACAAATAGTGAAGTAATCGGACTCCGCTATTGTGCTAAGAGAGACAGCCCGCGAACGTGCGTGTCTGTGCCACCCCAGTCTCAAAGCATCTGGTTCTTCGGGTGAACGTGCCTCATTCTGAATCGCAGCAGCAGCAACTCTAAATCGCCTTTGACATGTACGAGGACAACAAATAAAAGGGACCTCATATCAGATGTTGCTCATGAAACTGTCTTAGAAAACTTCCCCGGGATTTTGGGAAAACAAATATTGCGAGTGCCCTTCCCAGGGAGGGGGCCGGGCGAAGGCCTCCGCACGCCCAGCGGGAGCTCTCCAGAACTAGAAACAGCCCCAGGGACAGTCAGACCCGCAGGGAAGGGCGTCCTGGACACGTGGGGAGAGGCCCCTGCTGAGGGGCCTGCAACTCATTCACAGAAGACAAGGCCGTGGACTTGGGAGCCAGAAAGCGCCTCCTTCACTTGGAAGCATCCACTGGTCTCTGAGAGGAAGGGGTGGCGGCCATCATGGCCAGGCGGCTGGAACAGAGTGGTCCACAGAGAAACAGAGAATGGCTACCACAGAGGGGAGGGATGGAAAGGCTGATTAAAGGCTCTCCAAAGAGGTGACAGCTGAGGTAAGTTTTAAAGGCAGAGAAGGATTTAGCCAGGCTTCCTGGAGGAGGTGCCATCTGATACTCGTGGCTTTTACTGAGTAAAGGACAAAAAAGACATTCCAGGCAGAGGATGGACGGCCCCGAGGTGCCGAGACTTGAGAAAGCAGGGTGTTTCTACCATGCACAGCTCAGCTGGGAGCCGGATATAGACCAGGTACGGGGACTCCTGAGCTTGTGCCTTGTTCAGTCCCTGGACGTCCCGGCGGGGATGGTGTTGCAGGACAGTGGGGCTTCGGGACCAAACGAAGCCTGAGAAATGTGCCTCTCGGAGGCCGGCCTGGCCCCTCCTGCTTGGGAAGGTGGCCGGGGCTCAACTGTGCGAACTGGCTGCCTAAACGTGGCGGAAACATCAAGGGAAGACGTTTCTCTTAATTCGGATGAGCACGAGCGGCAACCGATTATCACTGACGGTGACTCTGAAGACCTTTGAGAACGAAAACAGAAGGGAAGGTGCGAGCTCCCACAGAAGGGCGAAGGAGGAAGCGTAAACCGGAGGCAGTAAGTTGGGCAACTGAGACGCGGAACCAGAGCGGGAGGCTTGTTCTGTTCTGCTCTGTTTTGGTTTTATCATTGGGGACAGGCCAGGAGAGTTTGGAAGAGACAGAACCAAACAAGCCTTCAAAGAGCCACCTGGGGATCCCTCCCAGGCCCGGGGGAGGCCAGAGGGCACAGGGGAGCCCCACCCAGACCAGGCTGTGTGCAGATGGCACCGAGGCAGGGATGGGACATGGAGCCCAGCGCAGCCGGGCACTCGGGGGACCCGGGGCTGAGGGGCTTTTTCCGAGGGACGAGGGACGGAGCAGGCAGGGCGGGCTCCATGGTGCAGAGCCAGACGGAGGCCCAGGGGGCCCGGGCAGGGGCCTGGGTTTTTCTTGCTGCTCCCTAAACACTCTCAAAGATGAGTCAGGATGCAAATAGCTCTTTTTTGTTTGTTTGGCTTTTCTTAAATCCAGAAACTAACACCAGATAGGTGCATGCAAGAGGCGGTCGGAGACCTGGAGCACAGAAGCCACCTCAGGAGCACAGTCCCTCTTGAGAGCTGAGACCTCAGGGCTGAGGGTCCCGGGTCTGCCAAGGAACAGAAGGCACCTGCAGCTCATCCCAGGCAGAGAAGCAGCCCAGACAGGAAACCGGGCAGTTGTCTTCCTCTCCCTGGAGAAAGACGGTCCTCTGAGGCCCATCACGAACTGGAGGAGCCACAAAGGTATGGGTGTGAGAACCAGATGCAGCACATGCCACAGAAACAAGCCCTGGACGGAAGTGAGGGGGGCACAGTGTTCCCGTCGGGACACGGCTCACGAGCGCCCCCACCAAACGCCACGTCCTCTGCCTGGTCCCCGGCTCCTCGTGTCGCCGTGCTCATCTGGCTCGACCCTGTTTTCCTTTTCTAGTGGATAAAACCAGACATCCAGGCAGAACTGGCCGAAACCAAGATGGAGGGAGGAGTCAGGTGAGGGTGCAGCCACAGCCTCTCAGCCGTAGCGAGACGCACGCCCAGGACAGACCGGACAAGGCCACAGGTGGGAGATGAGGGGCGTGAATGCCGCCCCTGGAAACCTCTGCCTGTTTCTCTGAAATCCTGCTGGTGCAGGCCCCTCAGCTGGCCGCTCGCCGTAGCACTTTAAAGTCCCATAAAAGTCCCACTTCTCCCCACTTTGGCGAGCTGGCCTGTGTGACAAGAGCCCACCAGGTCCAGGGGCTGACCCCTGATGACACGTGACCTCCTTCCACCAACACTCGCCCCTCGAGAGCTCTAGCTTATGAGCGGTGAGTAGCCAGACCCCGAATCTCCTGAGCAGTCAGAACCATGTGAGGGTACCCTGGGCTGATGCTCTGCTGTCTGGGTCAGGTGCCCGTGACCGGGGTGCCCCCCTGAGCCAGCCAGAGAAGGAAGGAGGCCAGCGGGAGGAGCCAGGAGCAGCAGACATGAAGTGGGGCTGCCTTTTTCCAAAAGGATGGAGGCTGGACCAGCCCCAGGGGCGGGAGCTGCCCATGGTGGTGAAGTGGGGGAGCAAGCAGACGGCCTGGGGGGCAGAGTCGGGCCCTGCCCACCAGGCAGGAGAAGGGGGGACGCCTGAGGAGGAGCTGGGCAGGTGAGGCTGCGTCCTCCTTCTCTGCCCAGAGCCAAACTCGCTGACCCAGCGCCCTGCTCGGCGCAGGCCCTGCCTGTGCCTCTGCCTTGAGAACTCTGTCAGCTCCGTTCACAGGCTGCTTCCGCTGCCTCTCGAAGCACACTAGACCCGAGTCCTAAATAAACGCAGACATCTAAAACAACAACTTCTTGATTCGGGGGGAAAGAGGTTGGGGTAAGATCCAACAAAAGAAAACGTAAAAAAAGTAAACATGGAAGAAAGTGGAGAGCTCGTCTTCAGAGCAGAAGATCGATTTAGGAGTCAGAGTCCGACAGGCCGGCAGGCCCGGCTTGGTGGCCCGTTGTCTGCTCCTCATCCCAAATGCAGATTCCCCCACAGAAGACCTCCGGGCTCTGTCAGCGCCTGCGCCCCGCGCCTCTTCCCGGCGACCTGCACTGGACAGCAGTGCCGCCTGCAGTCACCCACACGACACTATCGCCACAACGAAGATGACCCTTTCGGAGAGTCCATTACGCATTTCTCTTATCAGTCGTAAATGCCTAAGGTCTTTCTCACTGAAGTTTTCGTTTCTTTGCCCCCACGACTGTAGCTTGAGGAAGTGTAAGGGAATTCAAAGAACTCGAGCTTTCCAAGAAGCCCCGGTGTGCATTGCCGAAGCCACCAGCGGTCACCGCGTGGCTTCTGTGGCTGGACACGAGAGTCGCTGGCCTACCGTCAACGCGCCGCCTGACCGTGAAAACACGCCTCGCGCCTGCGGCCCTGCGGGCTCACTGCTCCGTGACTTTGAAGCAATTCCTGCTTGAACTGAGAGCTGAGAGGCATGACCACTGACTCGCCGAGAGCGCTTCGGACCAGGCCAGGACACGAGACCCTGGCCCCTCGGGAGAACATGCGTGTTTCAAAGCCATTTGTAAAATGAACGGACGGGCTTTGCCTGATGGCCTTTCGGTCTTTAAGCTGGCATATTCTGCTGGAAGAACGATGCCCTGTAAGCTGAGCGGCTCCCTGGGCAACACCTGCCCGTCACTCAGCCCACCCATCTGGCAGGATGGGGCCGGGCGGGAGGGCTGGAGCCTGCAGCCTGCAGCCTGTGTTAATCAGAGCACGCACCGAAACCAACATGGCTGCCTCTCAATCATGCCTCACCTTGGTGAGCACTGACGCCCAAGAGCACTGACAGTAATCACGCAGGCCTTTCAGGGTGACTGCACTAACCACCGTCATTATTACTAGTGAGATCGTGAAAAAAAGTGTCATCCAGTCACCCGAGCATGGGACACAGCTATGCATTTACATACACGTCCAGACTTATTACGGAGCATGTCTGGAAAAGACACAGTATTATTTCTATATAAATATATAGATGCATAAAATAGACATAAACACACATATATGGATGTATTACAAAATTATTCTCCATGATACTTAATAAAGTATTTGCATAATATACATCCATGTAAACTGCTATGTATTCTTCCATAATGGGATAACTTCCATCCCAGCTGACTCCACAGGACACATGTTTGAGAACCTCAATTTACAAAATCAAACCTTGGATAAACTGTGCTGATTGTTAGCAGGTAACCTAGAAAATCCTCACTATTCCAGAAATCCCATAGGATAAAGGCAGGTCTGTCATGTGTCACAGGCATTGGCGCAGCAGCTGTCCCGACATCAGTCTCTCGGGGTCAAGGCTCACCCCCACCTGGACCCCAGGGTGCCTTCCCAGAGTTCACCTCTCAGCAGAAGTGGAAGCAGAGCACAGAAGGCAGCAGGAAGAACGATGCGCAGAGCCCTGGATGCCCCCTGAAACTCGCCCCCCGCGCCCCCACTAGACAAATCATTCTAGGAACTCGGTGTTAAAAATACCAAAACCAGCTTATGAACGAGACTTTTGAAAGTGCTAACGTGGGGTGTGCACATAAAGCAGCTCTTCAACTCCTCGAGAAGCACTGGGTCTCCTTTGTAAGTCCCTAAAGTTCATGGTGGGAGGGTCTGGCTCAGACACACTCGCCCTAGCAGACAAGGCACTTGTGGGGCCACAAGAGAATTAACTATTTGTGTTTGAAATAATATTTGTGTAAGCGACATTTCAATAGTTCTCAAAGCCCATCTCCAGAGTGGTATTTCAAGAACTAAACACGACAGGGTTTCAGAGTCTAAACACAGATGCTCCCCCTCTCAGTGCTGGGGGAGAAGGTGGCCGCACAAAAGGCCTTGAGCTCCAGCCTCACAAAGACCCAGCAGGGCCGCCCCCACCCCTCTCCTAGCAGACCGAGATCCAAGAATCGGCCATTTCTTGCCCTGACATCCTGATCCCAATGGCCTCGCCGGGCCCAGCCAGGCCAGACACAGCTCTCTGGTCGGGGCTGAGGAATGTTTCGGCGGGGAAGGCTGTGGGCCGGAAGCCACCCGCGGGCCGAGCCCCCTCACCGGGCTCCACATTCTTGGCTCTGTCCTGAAACGCCTTCCCCAGCGCAGCTCAGGGCCCCGAAAACGAGCCAGAGGACATGGCTGGCGTCTTTCTCATTGTTGAGATGTCACATTTTGCATTATTCTTTGGATTTCGGGGAGCGGATCTGTGCCATCTGGGTCAGAGTTCACCGCACCCAGCACCAACACATCAGAACGCGCTGCAGGCCCGTTTCAAGCCCATGGCCGCCGAGAGGGCCTGGATTCCACTCTCCAAACAGATGCTGCATTTGTGTAAACGGCCACCGTGGGTCTGTTTTCTGGGTCAACATCTGGAGCAGGCAGAATGAGGGGTTCGGTGGTTCAAATGTTGGATTCAGGGCCAGCCCCGGACAGGGTGGCCGGGCTGCTCCCTTTGAAAGGGGTTTCTCGTCGGCTTCCCTCTGCGTCGGGACTGGGCTGGGTCTCTGCGCAGAGGATTACTGGCCCGGGTGTCATTTTAAAAAGCCACAAGGATGCAAAGGAAAAGGAGTCAGAGTCCCCGGGGTGCTCCCAGTCCATGGACCGGCCCGAGAGCTTCTGGAAGGACCCGCCTGAGGACCTGTCCCATCCTTTGATGCCCACGCGCTCCATGCCGGCAGCTGAGCCACCGCCGGGCCCCGTGTCAGCGCAGCGCTCGTGGCCCACGAAGGCCGTGCACAGGAACACGCGGGGTTTCTCCTCCTCCGTGTCTCGGCGCTGGAAATCCATCGCCATCCACCTAACACGCGTCCTCAAGACCCCCGCCCCTGGGCAGTGTGCGTCAACGTGTAATGACTGTCCTGGCCGTTGTTCTGAACCCTTTAAAACCAGACACCCAGAACTGCAAAGTGAAGGGCCACGGCGTGTGCCCACGTTCCGCCCCGCTCCGTGTTGGGAGACAGCGGCCATGCGCTGGGACGGTCCCGGCGGAGCCGAGGCTCACTGCCCGCTGGCCGTGGAAGACGGACTTTGCGCTCGCTCTGGTGTCCACGTCCTTCCCGACAACGGTCACTGCTCGTGGCAAAACGTGGCCAGCTTAGATTCAGAAGTGCGTCTCACCCCAAGGACCCTCAGCTACTAGTAAAGTCCACCTCGGAGCCTTGGACGATCGCCGCCCGGCGGTAACTAGCCGGAGAGACGGCGCGAGGGGCAAGCTTTCCCCTCACAGGGGGCTGGGCCAGGCCAGGGCAGGGGCGGGAGGGTGAAGCTGCAGCCTGGCGGGGCGGGGAGCGGGCGGGCAGGGGAGAGGTGGGCGAGGCAGGGCTGGTGGGGGCGCCCACAGGGGGCGGCCAGCTGGGCTCCAGGGGCAGGAGGGAGGTTTGCCCAGGACACGAGTCAGGAGACGGGGTGATAGGTTCGTCCCTGGGTTTCCCAGTGAACAGCACTGGTCAGTGCACCCCAGGCCTAGCAAGAAGGAAGAGGGGGCGCAGGGGCCAGCGTGCCAGAGAGAGGACGGAGACAGGAGGCCGGCTGTCCACACCAGGCACTCGGGGCACCCGGTCACCAGGCAGAGGGGACAGTCCGTGCTGGCGTCAGCCACGGGAAGAAGGGCCTGTGCGCTGGTGACGGGCCCCCAGGTAACGCTGCTCCCAGCTCCGCCCTGTCTGTGCTGGGTGCGGAGTGGGGGGCAGGGGAAGAGGAAAGACAGGAGCAGGCGGGGATGTGGGGTGCATGGCAGGGGGAGCACCGAGGAAGCACCTTTTCATATTTGAGCCACAATTTCTACAAACCCAACAGAGGGTTAGACGCAAGGGAGCGAGCTCCTTGCTCGCGAGGGTGGGCAGTCTGAGGCCGAACGCCCCGATTCTTTGTCACCTGGAGCCGCCTTGGCATCTCCTTCCATCCCTGATGATGCATCTCTGGTGTTTTCTGAGGCTGAGAGTCGTCCGTAAACAGCCGCCCCCAATCTCTGCCCTGTTCTCCCTGCGCGCCCGTGTTGCCCTACTCAGGGTGGGGTATCTGCCTTCGCCCCTTCCTTCCTCCTAGGTCTTTACTCGGCTCTCAGAACACAGGGAAGGCTGCACCATTGGGCGGCATCGGGGGCTTAAGGCTCTTACAAGCAGGCGCCGCGAGGATGCCCACCCGGCTGTGCGTCCCCGAGCCCTTGTTCCGGGACCACACCTGGGAGGCCGAGCTCCCCGGCTGCTCTCCGGCAACTGTTCTCCTAAGGGCCCCTGAGCGCGATCCCCACGCTCCCTAAGGCAGGAGCCCCCAGAGGGACAGGAATGAGCCAACAGGGACAGGAGGGGCCCCACCTTCTCAGGCTCGCAGACGCCCTCGGCAGGAGGACGGGCCTCTTGCTCAGCCAGACCAGGGTGGGAGGTCTGTAATGTGGACCCGCTGGAGAAATGCATTTCCCACCTTAGCTCCGAGCTGTTCTTTCCTGAGGAATTTGTGGGGGCGGGGGATGCGGGGGAGCACAAGTGCTTATTTTAAAGAAATGTTGTTATAAATAAATTGCAAAAATTTTTATGTAAAAATGTTATAGATAGATAAAGCGTCCATTCTTCCTAGACTTCCAAACCCACCGATAAAATCGAGGGTGTGAGATTCTTTTACAAATAGATGCTGTGGGTTAGATTCTAGCGTGAGCTCTGAGGTGCGACAGGGGAAAACTCAACTCTTATTTTTTAAATTCAGGCCCATATTTTCCTAAGTGGTCTCACAGCCAATCACTTTCCCATTTAGCCCAATGATCAAAAAGTGTCAGCTAGATCTGACTTGTGTTCTGAATCCTTTTCAGAAACTGATGACTGTATAATTTTAGTAAAATTTTGAGAAGTGACAGACACGTGTTTAGGGTCTTGCTTTTCCAGGCTACGCGGCTCATGTCCGGCCATACAAAGTGCCTTCTATGCCGCCCTCCAGTCCGCCGGCGCCCCCGCCCGGGCTGCCCCTTACCTTGGACTTGCCCTTGCTGTAGCAGGCCTTCTTGGTGGCTTCATCACACTCCCACGCCACAGCCTGCAGGAAACACCAAAACAACAGCGGCTATTACAGCTCTGGCTGGACCCGGGGGAAGAAATCAGCACCGGCGAGCAGATTAGCAAATGTAGCTCCATGGACACCCACATTTTCACATGATAGAGAAATTACACCCCAGCCCTGAGATGCAGACAGAGGGACTTAGATTTAGCTTTAAAGCCGAGGCATTTTGAAAGCCTCACCTGAATGCATTTACACTTAAGCAACGGTGATGTGATGTGATGTGATGTGATGTGATGTGATGTGATGTGATGTGATGTGATGTGATGTGATGTGATGTGATGTGATGTGTGGCGGCTGCTGCATGGAGCAGAGAGCAGCACCTCCATGAGCTCGTGGACTAGATCCACGGAACCTTCAGCAGAATCTTGAAACACAGAGACCCAGATACCCCGAGACATCTGCAGGTTATGTCAGCAGCAGGTTGCTGGTCCATGTTTCAGGTGTTGAAGTCAGCGTGTGCACAGCCACGCGTGCAGAAACACACGTGAGCGTGCAAAGCCAAGAGAAGACTCAGCTCCTGTGAAGAGCACATGCACTCTCCCCCAACACCAGCCATTTGCACAGTCATTAGCTCCTCCTCAATATTTAGACTTACACATTTTTAGGTATTTTTATCTCGACCTTTGCAGATCTCACTCGCACCCAACCATGCGATGCAGGTGCATTCACCTCTGATGCCAACTCACAAGCAGAATCTGAGAGTGGTGAAGATAAGACCCAGGAGAGACAGAAAACATCCCTGCACAGGCATCTTATCATCAGAGTCGGATTTCTGAACAAATCAGGATTTCTGAAGAACCAGTTAAGTCATTATCAGAAAAGATGGCCTTGGGAGACATTCACTCATTTGGACGAATGTTAAATCATAAACTAAACTAGACCCCAAATAAACTGATGCCAAATAATGTGGCTCCACTCTATTTCTAGTTAGATTTTTACAAATTCTGCTGAGTTTAGGAGAACTTCTAAGCTTCAGGATAAGCCCTCCTGTACTGAGGAGAAAACTAATCCAAAATTTAGCAAAGAAATCTAAACCAAAAAATATCTAAAATGATGGCAGGCTAACACCATTACCTAATATCAACTGTCCTCCAAAGAATGTTATACAACAGAGATTAAAACATAAAACACTGTGTCTCGCACAACTTATCTTACTTGGTAACTATGAGGCCATAAGAAAAGTATGTTGGAAAGAACCACTTCAGCATCTTCCGAGGGGAACAATACTGTAACTGTTTCCCTGGTGCAAACTTGGGGATTTTTTCGTGTCAACATCTGATAAGAGCCTTCGTTAATTCATTCTGTGATGTCTTTCTGTTCATAATGTTTAATGACAACAATAAAGTCACAGCTAATCACCATCTGATGCAAACAAATGACTTGAATTCCTTCCTAGGTTGACAAATACTTGAGGGAAAGTGATAACACCTCCAGAGAACAGATAAGAGCTTCACATACAGTTGCTAAAGATAGAGTTCCCGGGGAGGCACCAATAGATAAAATAGCTGTGTTCTGTTTTCATGAGTGGTCTTTTCTTTCTTAGATCTCTTTATAAAGCTCACTTTGTTGTTTTTCTTTAAATAAAGAGAGCCTTGCCTTTGTCCTCACTTACACTGAAAATAGAATTGATACACTGAGATATGAGATTGTTTTTAACAACGTAGACCCCATTATAACTCTAATTTTATATTACAAAGAGGGTTGTTACATGTCACAAAGAGGAATCTGTGCAATATGCATAAACACATATGTTCATCTATATCACACATACATACATAAACGCACACATAGTTACTAGGAAAACCGCACCGTGCAATGTTTTGAAGAGGCAATCAGAGTGACTCTGGCTGGCCTAGTAATTCATTCAAAGTCAAACAGCAATCCTCTCTTAGTAAACAGAAGAGCTACGAGGAGCAGGGCAAGTCCCAGAGTTATGAGAATACTACTTATCAAATGCCATCAAAATTGTTCAAATCCTGTGGCTGAAATGGCAAACGAACAGCTCCCCGAGTCTTCCCGATGCCCAAAGGCCCCTGTGCACTTTCCAGATAAATATTGGTCAAGGATTGGATGAGAAAGCGCAGGAAGACAGGCCCTTCATGGTGGGCGTAGGCAGGTAACAAACGTCTAATGGCGTGTGAAGCTGCACCCTTAAGTCCTGACGGGGGTATAAGGTGATGTCATCCACAAGAACGAGTGCAATTTGAAAAATAGATGTGATAGTTTTCAAAATTATTTCATTACTTCATCCAGTTTACTAAGAAAGAACAAGCAGTGACACCAATTTCTCAGACCAACAGAAAACTGGATCAATCTGATTTTTCTGAAGATAGTTAATTGAAAGTAGCAGGGTGCTTTCCTGGGTCATTTTTATTACGGAAATATCAGCTTTCCAAAAAAATTGAAATCCAGAATTAATCAAAGACCGTGCTTATGTAGCTTTTCTGTTGATTCACTTCCCACCTTAACAGCGAACCAGACGGGTAGGACATTAAGAACAAAACCAAACCACCGACTACAGGGCTGGACAAACATGACTAGATCACAGAATCTGAACAATAATAGAGTGGGAAAATGTGTCCTTTCTTCCCAAATCAATCCCATAGTGTCTTCTACTCCTGTGAACAAGCTCTACCCATTTGACCACTTGGCAGCTATGGGGGGAAATGCTTTTATTGGAGATAATATGAAAATCAATAGAACTCTCCAGACCAGATTTTATTTCTCAATTATTCTGTTTGCAATTAGATTAGACTTTAACCTGGCGATAACTTTCTTTTATAAAATTTGTTGTAACCAAACTTCTTTTAATCAAGCCGTCTCGCTCTGTCCTCAGTGGAGTCATTTTTATCCTTGCATGGCTGTAATTTTGGATCCAATCCCACTACTGATCTGTGGAACCATTTTCTGCTTGACGTCCTTTGCAGACACTTTCCTACCTACCTCCCCCACCTCTAGGACAATGAGAACAAACACTGAGGCGATCTCCATGCAGATCTCTGTGCAGCCCTCAAGCGCTGACTTCCTTGTGTCGCTTTGTTTTTTTGAACCCTTGGTGTCTGTATCTCTGGTCTCTTCTCTATTGCATGATAAGTCTGCAGAGCAAAGGACTCTTAATTTCCCACCCCATTCTGCATTTAGTCTTCATTATCTTTTTGAGCATCAGACACGTAACAGGAACACATGGAGAGCCTAAAGCCACATACGTAGTAGGCAATGAGTTTGAAATATCTGCATTTTAAAGACAAAGATTCCAGTTTCTGACACAGCAATTTTTTGCCTGTAAAAAAGTGACAAATGACATCTGTGCTCATCAACCACTTACAGACATTTTGCTTTATGCACCTGTATCCATCCTGGCATTCACTTAATACCTGCCCACTGAGCGCAAGCAGGGGAAAGCAATCTCAGTTAAGGTAATGACTGTCGGACGGAATCGAGAGTAGAGATGCTATTTGCAGGCATCGCATATTACTGCACAACCAAATAGAAACGCCTCCCACCAGTTAATTCTCGTCCACCCCACTGGTCTTTCATCTCAGAACGGCCAAGGGCTTCTCAGAAGCTGCGCTCATCTCAGATCTGGGGAGACACTAGAACTTCCAACAGCTTCGAACTTTGGGGCGGGACAGCGCTGCGGAGCAACCTACGGGTTTCCAGAGTCAATTTCTGTCTTTCGAAACCTGGGGGTGTGCGGAAGCACCTTCTGGTTCCCGACACAGCACCACACACACACGCGCGCGTGCTGTGCCGACAGATGCAGCCGTGGTCCCGGGAGAGCATCAGACTCGGGACAGAAAAGCACGGGCGCTTCCTGTGTAGGTGTCACAGACACAAAATCCACAGTTCTCAGAAGCCTATAAACAAAGCTGTGCATTATCACATTCCACTGTGAGAGAAGTTAATTAGACAAGGACCAGCAAAGGCAGATACTTTTCATAAAAATGGTGAGAACAACACCAGGCAGATGGGCCACCGAGCTCTCAGCAGATGGCTTTGCTAATGAGATCCTGGCAAAAGATAACATTTTAAAAACTAGTTTAATTACACAGTGCCAAAAATTAACAATCACCTGAGGGCGTTCTTTTATATGTTTGTATTCATATTCTCCTGGCGTGCATTTGTGTGAAGCGCCGGAGAACGTCAGCCCGCCGCGTTGATCATAAACAAATTGTCAGGGAGCCCCCAGTTCCTGACGCTGTGCAAGACAGAAGCCAAAGGCAAACGAGCTGAGCTTGAAGGAGCTGTGACTGCTCTGTCACTGGCGTCAGTGTCAGTCCACATACCCGTGCACACGGCCAGCCTGCGCGATGGCCGGTAGCAACCGGGGGGGCCAGGCCCCAAACAAGTGACCCCCGGGACGGCGTGGTGGGGCTGACAGATGCGACGGGCACAGATCATGCAAGGATTTCCCCCACGCTCCTCCCTGCCTTGCCTCCACTGCACCTGCTCACGCCAGAGTCCTCTGCCATCTGCTGGCTTGAGTGTCCACAGCCAAGTCCACCTCATTCTCACCGAAACCTCGAATCTGAGAGCTGGAGGGGGCTGTGTGCTCATCATAGAACCTCTCTTTTTTGATTCTCGCTCCACTGACATCATCAAAATCAGAGCTACATTTCCGCCCTGAGCGTCTCGTAAAAATGTGTTATTAGCGTTTTTCCAAACCTTAGATTAAAGCTCAAGACGTCCTCCCACATAAAAGCACCAACTCCATCTTACTTTGATAAGCGCACGAGGGAGCCCCCAACTTGTTAAATGTTCATCCGGCCTTTTGTTTTTTTAATTGGGCTTTTAAAAATGAAGGCTGTTTTTTAATTGAGCAGACACTGTGTTATATCCCCAGGGCTGTCTTAACAAAGTACCACTAACTTAGTGATTTTTTTAATGTAGAAAACTGGGGTTCAGGCCAGAGGTGTGGGGGTGAGAGGATTCATCAGAGACAGAGTGGAGAGCAGAACAGGTGGATCCACTGAAAT